TTGGCTCTCTGAGGCGAAGACTTGTCCATAGTCACTGCCTTGGGGATGGATCTTCGAGGACCTCGGTAGGCGGTGGACATGGATATGATCGGGCCCTCTGTGGCCCAAATATCTGCGCATCCAGCGCCGCCCTGTGGGCCTCGGATATCGGTTCCCAGGCGGAGGTCAGCCGGAAGGTAACGGTCTTCAGGCGCCAGATCATGTAGGATCCGCTCATGGAGGCTTTTGGCTGTGCCGGGTATGGGAGCCACTGGCGGCCCTGGAGGTGGCGCTGCATATTGACAGCCCAGTTTGGGAAGCCCCCCAACAAATCTTCAGCGCAGTTTTTTCCTGAATCTGATGAGCCGGGTTCGCGCTGAGCTGGGTCAGTCCACGCCCGAGGTGGATATGGATCGGCTGCGAAATCCGAATCTTGCCCTCGCCGATCAATGACTGAGGCTCCTCGAAGGGCGGCGGGGGCAGGGTTTGAAGTTCGTCGAACACGTGGCGAACTCCGCGTGCTACCCCCGCCTCCCATCGACTCAGGAGAGCCGATGCTTGGTGGGGGTAGAGTTCGAATGTCGCCATCTATATCAGTAACTCCCCGCCTCGCGCAACCTGGCCTTGCAGTCAACTCGCATGGTAAGGATGGGTAGCCTTCCTAAGGGTACCCTTGCATCCTTGCCTCCTCGGCCCACCCTTGGTCACTTTCGTTGGCCGCGCCCCGCTCGAAAAGCTTCGAAATGTGCGTCCAAGGCCCTTGCATCCTTCCGGCGGCGAGCGTGGGGGGGAAGTGAGAAGGAAAAGGCCTTCTCAGAAGGCTCGGAAGTCCCCAGGCCTTCTGAGAAGTTCTCTACGCTTTCCCTGGAGATAGAAACAACTTATCAGAAGGCGTGAGGGCTTCTGAGAAGTCCCGTTGCCCTCTGAGAAGGCCTTCTCTTTCTCATTTCCCCCCCTCGCTCGCCGCCGATCCTTATCGCGCATCCTTATGACACGGGCCGACTGTTCGAGTGGGCGATGAACTACAGAATTGATTTACCCCAGAATTGATACCTCGTCGAATTACATTAAAAGTCGCAGAACCTTCGCCGATCGACAAACATTCAGCGCACTTTTGTTGAATACAGTCGACCCGCAGAGTAAGGATAGGCATCCCTCCCAAGGGTACCCTTGCATCCTTGCTTACTGGGTCCATCCTTGGATACTTTCGTTGGCCGCGCCCCGCTCGGGAAGCTTCGAAATGGGCGTCCAAGGCCCTTGTATCCTTGTCGCGCATCCTTACTCTGCGGGTTGACTGTATTCTACGGGGCGTGAAAACGACCACAGCCACTGCTTTTCTTTTGTTGCCGCCTTCCAGCCCGCAGAAAGAGAGCAGTGGTTGTGGTCATTTTCGTTGAGCTTGGCACCAGGGAAATGACCACAGCCACTGCTTCCTTTTCGGCCGGCTGGAGGGCGGCGCAAACAAGAAGCAGTGGCTGTGGTCATTCTCCCGTTCGACGTGCATATCAATTCAGGGGCGACTCGATCCTGTAGTCGATCCTCTACTCTCGGGGGCGGAAAAGAGGGGGGTGATGAATAGGGGGGGTGGATATAATGGCGTGGGCCATGATATTTCCCCAGATTTCATGGCGCCTCTTCTTATTTCATTACGTCCCAGGCCCCCCCGCTGGGCCGCGCACATGCCGCCGGTCATGATTTGCACCCCCCCCCTCTTGGACACCCCCCTCTTGGCCGCTCCCGATACTCGAGCTGTACCTCGAGCGTCCTCCTCCGTCTTCCCGAGGCTGCTCACCTTCCAGCTCCTCCGCGCCATAGAGTACTGCCACCGGCACGACGTGCGCGCTGCCCGCCCCGGCCTGGAGGAGGAGGAGGAGGATGAGGAGGAGGAGGAGGACGAGGAGGAGGAGGACGAGGAGGAGGAGGAGGAGGACGAGGAGGAGGAGGATGACGACGAGGAGGACGAGGAGGACGAGGAGGAGGAGGAGGAGGACGAGGAGGAGGAGGAGGACGAGGAGGAGGAGGAGGAGCAGAGTAGAAGAGACCCTCCCTCCAAGCTCCCTCTTCGTATGCCCCTGCAAGGATTCGGGTCCACTGGGGAAAGTGCCCCATGGGGAGACGACACGTTTGAAGACCCTCAAGCGTGCCACAAATCCATTCTGGGTACCCCGACGCCACGGATCAACTTGATTGTTGCATTTTGACGGTCATGAATCGTGCCAGAACGCCCCTGTTGGGATATCAAGACAGCGAATCAACATACCTGTTGCGCTTTGGCAATCCCGAATCGTGCCAACACGCCATCTCTGGTACGTTGAGCATAGGAATCCGTGATAGCCGTGCAAATGTGTGTGCGCGGCGCTAAGGCGAGAGCCACATTTTAAAAGGAAGTGTCCTCAATTCGTGACACGGTTGCAGAGTTTGAGGACAACTGTGTGCGGTTCCAAGGCGAGAACCACATTTTGAAAACGGCCAGCCCTCAATCCGTGAAACTCGTCTGCACTTGTTTCAGACGAACGTGCGCGGCGCTCAGGCGAAAACTACATTTTGACAACGGCCCGCCCTCAACCCGTAAAAGGCAAAACGAACGCGCACGGTGCTGAGGCGAGAGCCACATTTTTTGAAGACCACCCGCCATCACTCCGTGAACCTCTTGCAACTTTTTAAGGCGAGTATGTGTTGCGCTACGGCGAGAGCCACTTTTTGAAAACTGCCCGCCCTACATCTGTGGAACTGTTGCCACGTTTAAAGCTTCAGGGTCATAAGAAGGAAGTCTCAGGCGAAACGTCCGGCTCGCCCTTCCGACTGGCCTCGGGGTGCAACAGGCAGGAGTTAGTTAGAAGGAAGAGGATCTGAGGTGGAGAAGGAGGAGAAGGAGAAGGAGGAGGAGGTGGGGGGTGGAGGAGGAGGGTTGAGGATCAGAAAGGGGAGAGTTGAGGAGGAGGGGGAGGGATGATCAAGAGATCTGGGGCCCAGGGTGAGGCTGAGGCCAGGGCCAGGGACCACGGCCTGGTAGCCAGTGCTAGCGCCAGGGCGAATGCTACGATGAGGTCTGGAGCTGCGGGCCCCTATCCTGGCTGTGGATGCCTCCAGAGGCCTCTGGAGACCGGGAGGAGGGAGAGGGGTTGGAGGGCGGAGGCGGAGCGGCGGCAGGGCGGAATAGGAGGATGCGGGATGGGGGGATGACGAGGCAGGGAGGAGCGGGGAGGAAAGGACGAGGAGAGCGCGAGGACGAGGCGGACAGGGTGAGGAGCGGGAGAGAGAAGGATTGAGGAGCGGGGGGAGGGGGAGTGGGAGTCGGGGGAGGATGTAGGCGGAGGAGGAGGAGAGGAGGAGGAGGAGGAGGCGGAGGAGGAGGAGGAGGAGGAGGGGAGGAGGACGGAGGGGAGGAGGAGGGGGGAGGAGGATGAGGAGGAGAGGAGGAGGGGAGGGAGGCGGAGGAGGAGGAGGAGGAGGAGGCTGAGGAGGCGGAGGAGGAGGAGGAGGGAAGCAGGACGAGGAGGGGAGGAGGAGGAGGAGGAGGAGGAGGAGGAGGAGGAGGAGAGGAGGAGGAGGAGGAGGGGAGGGAGGAGGAGGGAAGGAGGAGGAGGAGGAGGGGGAAGGAGGCGGATGGAGGAGGAAAGGAGGAGGAGGTGAGGACGAGGAGACGAGGAGGAGGAGGAGGACGAGGAGGAGGAGGAGGACGAGGAGGAGGAGGAGGAGGAGGAGGAGGAGGAGGAGGAGGAGGAGGAGGTGGGTGGAGGGTGACATGAACGCAACATCCCTAGAGCTGATGTCCGATCAAGGTCACAATGGGGGAGGGTGACGGGCGAGGAGGGGGCAGGAGGGCGGGTGGCCAGAGCTCTGGAGAGGTGGGCGTGCGGAGGCGCCCGCGGGGGGCGCGAGGGGGACTGTCACGCCGGGCGTTCCCCCGACCTCCGACGCCGTTTCTCTGTGCTTTGTCTGTGTGTGCTGCTTCTTTTTGCTGCTGCTGCTGCTGCTGGGCCTGTGTGATCTCGGCCCTTCACAGCTCGCGCCGCTCCGGACAACCGCCGCGACAGAGGGCGAGCATGCCCCCCGCCCCCCCCCCAGCCAGGACCCGAGGGGCGGCCCGCAGAAGTTGCACTCTTGTGTCAGGAGGGTGTAGGACTCAGAGGCGACGATAGGGTTAAGTCGGACCTGTCCCTCTACAGGGGGGATACTCAAAAATAGTCAAAACATTTCTTCTTTTATTCTTCTTCTTCTTCTTCTTCTTCTTCTTATTATTATTATTATTATTATTATTATTATTATAGTTTTTTGACAATTTCGGAGTATTTTTCCAGTGTTTTTTTTGGCTGTCGAAAATCCCCCTGCAGGGGGACACGCCCGACTTAAGCGACGCACTCAGGTGCGCCGGTGGTCTATGTCTTCGAAAACGGCTCCTGGGCGAATGCGTGTAATGCTCGCCCCTGGGCTATTCGCCCCTATCGTCGCCGCCGAAGGACTGGGAAGCATCGCTCGTCGGGACAGCTTCGGGATCGGGATTAAGTCGGGCCTGTCCTCCTACGCGGGGATTTTGTACGAAAAAGGGTGAATAGCCAAACATACCCCCTGAATGGTCAGAAAAGACTAGCATCATCGTTCCCGTACTTTTTGTTTTTGCTTTCGAATATTTTTGATAATATGTTTGAGCATTCCTCCTGTAGAGGGATGGGCCCGTTCGATGCTCGTTTCGGGGACCTTCCTGGAGCCCACTTAACGGATCTGTTCGACCCCAGTTCGACTCAAGTTCGACTCAAGTTCGACTCAGGTTCGACTCAGGTTCGACTCAGGTTCGACTCAGGTTCGACTCAGGTTCGACTCAGGCTCGACTCAGGGTCGACTCAAATCGACTGGCGTTCGACGCAGCTTCGACGCACGAGTGGAGCGAGTGGCTCCAGGAAGGTCCCCAGAACGAGCATCCAAGGCCCGACTTCAGATCATGATCGGGGTGCGCTCCCGCCTGGAGAGTGGAGGGAGCTCGCGGGCCGCGCGGCCCCACCGCCGACGAGACCTCGGCGCGGGCGCGCGGTCCCCCCTCTGGGCCCGGGCGGGGGCGCAGCTTTCGACGAGCGCTCGGTGCTGGGGCTCAGGCAGGCCCAGGGACGCGTGACAGAACTCAGGAGGGGAAAAAGACACAGGTACAGCTAATTATCGATTCCCTCGAGAATATGGGAAATATGGGAGATATGGGAAATATGAGAGCGCGTGGCAAAATTCAGGAGGGGAAAAAACACAGACACATCTAATTATCGATTCCCTCGAAAATATGGGAAATATGAGAGGTGGGGGAAGATCCAAACAAATATGAAAATATATGGGGGATCCTGTGATTGGTGTGTATTTGGTAGTGTGTCCTTGGGCCCCTTCAAACATCGCTCCAGGGCGGCCCGGAACGGCCTCAGAGCGTTCTGGAGCGCTCCGGAACGGCCGCGGCGCCCGGTGCATGCTCCAGAGCCGCCGGATCCCAGAGGCCCCCAATGCTGCCCCTGGTCCGAGTTTGTCGGGGGTGGACAGAACCCCCAACAGTGACACGTCGATTAGTGAATTGTCCGTTTTCGGTTTTCGAGAGGGCGCCGTGGCCGTTATTTTCCGGGCTTGCGCCCGCAGGTTTGGGCCTCAGGTCGTTTTCAATAAACCACGTTTTCCTAAAGGGGGGTCTGTCCATCCCCGAGTTTGGCCTCGCCCCGGCTTTGTCCGGATTCGCCCTGCAGGGCTTTGGAGATTGACCAAGGAGGCGCGGCCCAAAGCAAGCGGAGTCGGGCGGCGCGTGGGGTAGCCGTAAGTCGGGCCTGTCCCATTACAGGAAGAATATTCAGAAATAGTCAAAAATAGTCAGGGGACGATTTTTTGACCAGTTTTGAATATACTGAGGTATTTTCTGACTATTTTTTATTTTTCGTCCGAAATCCCCCTGTACGGGGACAGGCCCGACCTAAGGATAGCCGCGCGACGACCGCCGCCAGGTGATACATCGGGACATCAAGCCCGAGAACCTCCTGAGCGCGCAGCCGCCCCTCCCCCCTCTTTAGGAGGAAGGAGGAAGAGGATGGTGATGGCGATGGTGTTGTTGTTGTTGTCGGTGGCGACTCCTCCTCCTCCTCCTCCTCCTCCTCCGCCTCCTCCTCCTCCTCCTCCTCCCTCCTCCCTCCTCCTCCTCCTCCTCCTCCTCCTCCTCCTCCTCCTCCTCCTCCTCCTCCTCCATGGTGAGGATGAGGTTGAGGGCGAGCGTGATGAGGGCGATGATGACGATGACGAGGACGATGACGGCTGTGATAACTGATCATGGGTCAGGGTGACGGTGGCGATGATGGTGCTGCTAATGCTGACGATGATCATGTTGCTGCTGATGATGATGATGCTGATGCTGATGCTGATGCTGCTGCTGCTGCTGATGATGATGATGATGATGATGAAGATGATGATGATACGGATGGTCATGGTAATGCTGATGATGATGATGATGATGATGATGATGATGATGATGATGATGATGATGATGATGATGATGATGACGATGATGCTGCTGCGATTATGGCGATGTTGGTTGTGGCGATGGTGGTGATGATATTGATGATGCTGCTGCTGATGATAATGGTGATGACGATGATGTCGTAAATCTCGTGGGTGTTTGGGCTACTGATGGTGATGACAATGGTGAGGAGAATGTCGCTAATGATAAGGTGGGGGGATCGAGATGACGAGGGTTTAAGGATGATTAGGGAAGAGGGACTGCGGAGGCAAATGATTGCTCCAGTTCCGTCTTCCCTTTCAACCTGGTGCCCCAGGGCGTTCCGGCACTCTCTGGATCGACGGCGGCGCCGCAGCACATCCTCGAGACCCGCTGGCTCCCATAGATCCCAGGTCTGTGCTTCTCCTCCTCCCCGTTCTCGTCCTCCCCCTCCTCCTCCTCCTCCTCCTCCTCCTCCTCCTCCTCCCATTCCTCGTCCGAATGGATCCGTCTCTTGCCTTCGCCTCTGCCTTTGTCGATTGCATGGCCGACGAACGGGGCGCGGCATCAGTTTGCAACCTAGTTGGCGCCTGACGGCCGCGCTGTACAACGACCTTCACTTGGCCCTGGCAGCGCACGGTTTCGACTGCCCACGCGCCGAATGGCGTGCGGCTTTCCGCTCGCTCGCCTTCGCCCTCTCCCTGGGGGGGGGTCCTTTCCCGCGGTGCAGGCAGGCAGGCCAGAGCCCCCGCGACGGCGCCCCCCGCGCGGCGGAGGGCATGTCGCGACCTCGAGGCGCCGCGGGGCCCGGGGGGAGAGCACGGCGGTGCCGAGTTTCTCCCGAGCCTCCCTCGGTTGGGTCCTCGTCTCGAGGCGAGCGCGGGTGTGCCGACTCCCTCCTGCTCCTCCTCGCGCACTCGCTTCCCCTCTCGGGGTCCGCGAAGTGTGAGGCTGCCGCCACTTTCGAGGGTTGCAGGGGGTGCTAGCACAGTGGTGTCCTACGCAGATCCAAACGGGAACTCGCCATCCCTTGGGGGGGTTGCGAAGGGTGAGACGGTCGCCACTTTCGAGGGCTGCTACCTCGACACCCCTCGGGGCTGCGACCTGCGAAACTGTCCCTATTTTTGAGGGCTGCTGGGGGGACCGGCATAGTGGGTGCCGACGGCAGATTCAAATTAGACCTCGACATCCTTGGGGGGCTGCGAAGTGTGAAACTGTCGGTGCTGTCGAGGTCTGCTGGGGGGCCAGCATAGCGGGTGCCGACGGCAGATTCAAATTACACCTGGGCTTCTCTGGGAGGGGGGATTTGCGAAACCGTCGCCATTCTCGAGGGCTACTGGGGGGCAACATTTTGGGTGCCCACGGCAGATTCAAATGAGACCTCGGCATCCCCTGGGGGCTGCGATCTGCGAAACCGTCGCCACCTTCGAGGGCTGCTGGCGGGGCCCGCATAGTGGGTACCGACGGCAAATTCAAATTTGACCTCGACATCCCTGGGGGAGGGGGCTGCGAAGTGCGAAGCTGTCGCCACTTTTGAGGGTTGCGGGATAGGGGGAGGGGCATCATGGTGGATGCAGACGCCAGAATTAGACCTCGACGCTCCTTGGGGGGGGGGCAGCCACTGAAACTGTCGCTGCTTCCGAGGGCTGCTGGGGGTGCAGCATAATGGGTGCCGACGGCAGATTCAAATTATAGACCTCGTCATTCCTGGGGGGGTGAGGGCTGCGATCTGCGAAACTGTCGCCACTTTCGAGACCTGCTGGGAGAAACAACACGGTGGGTGTCGACGGCCGATTCAAATTAGGTAGACTTTTTTGGGGGGCTGCGGTCTGCGAAGCTGGCGCCACTTCAGGGCTGCTGGGGGGGCCAGCATGGTGGGTGCCGGCAATATATTTAATTCGAATTCTACATCTTGGGGAGGGGCTGCGAAGTGTAAAACCGTCGCCATTTTCGAGGGCTGATAGGGGGCCAGCATAGTGGGTGCCGACGGCAGATTCACATTATATTTACGCACCCCTACACCCCTGGGTGGGGCCGTTCAGTCTCGGATGTTGCACATCCTCATTCACCTCTTTGTTCTGTCCTCCTCAGCTACTCAGCTTGAAAAATCTACTCCTGCCTTGTACGGTTTGGTTATCTCGCGGGGCGCGTGGGGTGCAGCCATCCACGTGAAGCTGTCGCAGTCTCCTCGCCGCCTTTCCCGAGGAGCGTTGCCCGCCGCTCTCGAGGAGCGCTCCGGGGCGTCGATGCAGTGCTGAGCACGCAGGCGCTGCCCGATTTGCGGAATTCACCTCGCCACCACTGCGCTGTTGCTCATGGCCGAGACTGCCCATCGGGAACTCTGAACAAACCACCTTGGGGTTCTTGTGGGGCCTTCTCAAGTTTCTGCTGCTCCTGCCAGTGCAGAATCGTGGTTGCCCACCGAGCCCTCTGAAACAGATCAAGCAATGCATCCTGCGTTACGTGTGTTGCACCGCCAGAGGCTCCCGTGGTTCTGTTGAAACGCCCACTGTGTTGGTCCCTGTGAATGTGTATACGCTTCCGCAGAATTCAGGATCATTTCGATTTTTCTTACTCCTGAGGTTCTGATCATGATTTTAAGAGTATTTTTCCCAATCCACCATTGGTTGGATTCTCGTTTTGAATTGAGCAGTGGGGTCTCCTCCTCCTCCTCCTCCTCCTCCTCCTCCTCCTCCTCCTCCTCCTCCTCCTCCTCCTCCTCCTCCTCCCCCTAGCCCCCTCGCTCTCCCTCTTTCCCCTCGCATCCCTCTTGGGGGCTGCGAGGTTTGAAACTGTCACCACCTTCGAGGGCTGCTGGTGGGCCAGCAAAGTGGGGCCACACGCAGACCCCAACGGGACCTCGCCATCCCTGGGGCGGCTGCGAAGTGTGAAACTGCCGCCACTTTCGAGGGCTGCTGGGGAAGCCTGCGCAGTGGGGCCACACGCAGACCCAAATGGGACCTCGCCATTCCTGGGGGGCTGCGAAGTCTGACACATTCCGCCACTTTCGAGGGCTGCTAGGGAAGCCTGCGCAGTGGTGCCACACGCAGACCCAAACTCAAGCGGGACCTCGCCATTCCTGGGGGGCTGCGAGGTGTGAAACGGTCGCCACTTTCGAGAGTTGCTGGGGGAGACCGTGCAGTGTGGCCACGCGCAGACCCAAACGAGACCTCGCCATTCCTGGGGGGCTGCGAGGTGTGACACGGCCGCTACTTTCAAGGGCTGCTGGGGGAGCCCGCGCAGTGAGGCCACACGTAGACCCAAACGGAACCTCGCCGTCCTACGCAGACCCAAACGAGACTTGGGGAGGCTGCAAAGTGTGAAACGGTCGCCATTTTAGAGGGCTGCTGAGGGGAACAGCATCGTGGGTGCCGACGACACGTTCGACTTAGACCTCGACACTCCTGGGGGCTGCGATCTGCGAAACTGTCCCTACTTTCGAGGGCTGCTGGGGGAACCCGCATAGTGGGGCCACGCGCAAACCCAAACGGGACCTCGCCAGGAGGATGATGCTGCTGCTGCTGATGATGATGATGCTGATGATGATGATGATGATTATGATGATGATGATGA